AGTTGACTGATAGATAATAAACTGACGGACAACTGAGAAACATAAAGGATAGATAGAATAGTGACGGTAGATATAGGAGACGGTAGGACAGACCCAACAGATACAACAAACATATCAAATCCATTAGTAGCACTAACAGTAATAGGAAAGGGATAAGGAGTACAATTTTAAAGTAAGAAAATAATAGTCATATGATGAGAGGCACCAGTGGCACCAGAGTCAAAAAGCCAAACAGACGAAGAGATACCTAAAGAAAACCTAAGCAAACCTGAATAATGGGAGGAAACACAATGGAGACAGATGGAGATGGATGGGACGTAGACAGTATATGCTGAAGTTGACCAATCTGAGCACTCAAGGAAGCCAAGTCAGGATCACGAGACAGAGCAAATGCAGTATAAGCGGCGGAGGCTGAAAATTACTCGAAAGATGAGCACAGACCTGGGTCTGAGACCGTTGAGAAGACGAAGCAGGCTGACATCTCTTCTTGGGACAGTGATACTTCCAATGGCTCCTTTGATGATAGAAAACACACTCATCTGAAGCCAGAGACATTGTAAAACGAAAATGCTAGGGGTTCAAGTGTAATGAACCATAAATAGAAGAAAATAGCAAAACCAGGAGTCGAAGGGTAATAACAAAAAATCTGAGGGGTCAAACTATAATAACCCAAAGCTAGCATCAGATGGGTCAAAATATAATATTCAAAAAACTTGTTTGATCCAAACAAGAATAAGTGAAAACTGTGGTCAAACAAAACCAGGTCACAAACGAGAACAAAAACCTAGACTTAGATAAGTGAGTGAGTGAGAGAGAGAGAGAGAGTAGACCTCGTGAAAACTAGGAGTCAAAGCCCAGCGATGGCGATGACCAACCATGTGTGTCTAGCGACGGCGATGACCCAACTTCACAAGTCTAGTGAGAACTCTCACGATCAGACATTGACCAGAGTCGAACCAAAGTCGCAAGTTAGACCCAAAGAGAGAGAGGGATGTCAAGAACTTTGTCAAACCAGAGAGAAGAGATATCACGAACCAAAACCAACCAGAGAGAAGTCGCGATGTCAGAGAGAAAGAAAACCAGAAATCGCGATCGTGACTCCAATAGAGAATACGACTCCAATGGCCCACGAACCAGAGAACACGACTTCGATGATGTTGCACTGTAGATGAAGATGGTAAAGACGGAGACACTAGAGCTTCGAACTAGCTCTAATACCATGTGGGTGTGTTTGATTCGACGGACTGGATAAGAGGGAATTAGAATCCATCGAACTTGAATCCTAGGACTGTGAATCCCCCGGACTATTTGGTTGGATTGGATGGGTATCCCGTGTTTGTTTTCTCATGGGATTAGATGTCTGGAAATGACTATTTTTAGTGAATCCAATGTGTGGTTGGACAGACTGAATAGGATAAATGAGTAAAAAACTATTTTACCCTTTTTCAATTATTTAGTAAGTAATAGCAATATTATACATATCTTTAATATTTTAATTATTTTTAGCTAGATTAAATAAAAATTTATTTTATTTTATTTTTACACAATTAAATAAATTTATTTTTAAAAAATTAAATAAATAAAATATCAATAAAAATATATGTTATTTTTTTTAATTAAAACTTTAAATAAATTTATTTTAAAAAATAATAATAATGAAATAATGAAATTAAATAAAACATCTATTAAAATTTAAATAATGAAATTAAATAAAATATAAACAAAATTTTAAAATAAAACATCAATAAAATATCTATAAAAAAATATTTATTTTTAAAAAAATATAAATAAATAAAACATCAAGTAAATAAAGTAAAATAAAATTCATTTTTTTTTAAAATTGAGACATTTAATTTATTTTGAAGTCTGTACTAAAATATAATACATAAATTAAATAGTTATAGGGTCAAAATGTCATTTTCACACCTTAATTCCAAAGAAATCAATCCCATGAAATTGTCCCCCCCCCTCCCCGGATTGTTATAATCCCAACATATGGGGGATAAGGTCGAGTCCGACGCGACTCCAGTATTCGGCGCCGACAAAAAAAAAAAACAAACGTTGGATATAAAACCTTCCCCCAGTATTACAAGTCGAATAGTAGAAATAATCCCCGCCCACCCCCGCAACCCAATGAAATGCACCCTGTAAGTTTTCTGAAGAATATGTATATTCAATTATGAATGAAATACAAGAGTGCATCAGTTTATATAACAACCTAACCCTACGACTAAAAAGGAAACTAGAATATTTACTCAATCCCTAACATATACAAAATATATATACTACCATATATATATACATAAATCCTAATATTCTCAAAATATTCTCACACCACCATCTCCCAAGTACAGGAAGTATTTACTTTTCATAATTACAAAAATCATACAACTGTCTGTATATATCTTTAGAAATTTCTACCTGATCCAAACTTGGCATCTATAATCTCTCATTAGCTATCAAATCTTATCTGTTGTCAACAACTGATTGTAGGAAAAACCATTTATAGTCAATAATAACATGTTGCATTGTTCTAATCTTATCACTCTACAATAATAGTTTTTTTCATGACAAGTACTGGGCACTGTGCTCTGATAAGTAAAATACCAAAAAGAGAGGAAATTTTTTTTGTAGAATTGAATTCTTTGTTCAACTGAATGCTGTTAAATCTTCTTTAAGCTCATGGGGCACTTAACGCAGGTTTTTTTTCTTTTGCTTCTTCCTCATCTCCTTTACTTAACCACCAAATAATTTATTTATGACATACATATTTATTAAAAAAAAAAAAACACACAATACAAAACAAAAACAGAAACATAGTAGGGTTGTTTTAATTATTAAGAATCCTGAGCTTCCTTTGCAAAGTCTAGAGTTACCCTCATCATCATTTATCAGAAATTCCAGAAATATTATTGTCTTGCTACATCAAACATACTGTAAGGTATATTAGGGAAAGAAAATGGCACTCAAACATAATTCCATTTTTATCCATATAACCGCTACATTATCAGAAAGTTTACATCCTATCAAGAAGTTTTTTTTCCCCTTTTATACAGAAAAATACGATATGCAATCAGCTTGTAACATGCTAAGACTAATTCTTAGTAATTGTTATACTTTCACTTGCAACAAAATATGTCAGCAATACCTAGTTGACACAAATTACAAACCTTATCAAGAGAACATAATTTTCTTTGCTTACAAGGGTGTCAGGGGCTTCTCCTGATTACTCCCCAAGTACATGTAATCCCCATGCCATGTATACTAGGTAATTACCAAGCATAAACCCGGGGATGACCTCAAGGAGGAGAGCAGAAATTTGAGATTGTCATATTTTTACTTGCAACACTTTGTACCCATTTGGGAACTTAGCTTTATTAGTGACTTTTTAATTTTTTGACTTTTTTATAAGGTGAAAAAAGTTAATTTGTTATTGATTGATATGTATGATGTGACTGTTAGCTAATAGGTTTTTAGCCAAAAATCCTCTTGCCAAACAGGGAATATGTTGAAACTACCTAGTTTGACACAATTTCCAAACCTCATTTTGGGACCATTACATTCAAACATTCTATATGGGCATTAAACCACTAAAATTTAGACTGAATCACTTTGAAATTAGAGGTTACTCTGTGTGTGAGAGAGATTCAACAAGACAATGCAGAAGAACAAAATGAATCAACACAATAATAATAATAACAATAATAATAATAATAATAACATGCTACAATAATAGTAAAATACCAACAACAACAACAACAACAACAAAAACTGAAGAATTGACTTCTTTAAGTTCAACTGAATGCTCTAATAAATCTTCTCCTCTCACGAGGCACTTAACGCAGCTTTTGTTTTCTCACTTCTTCTTCATCTCCTTTACTTAACCACCAAATAATTTATTTATGGCATACAGATTTTAAAAACAAAAACATAATAAGGTTGTTTTAATTAAATCCCCATATTAAGAATCTTGAGCTTCTTTTGCAAAGTCTAGACAAAGTTTTACCCTCATCATCATTTATCATAAATTCCAGAAATATCATTGTCTTGCTACATACTTAAAGCAACTCAAACAACTGTAGGTATATTATGTTCGGCGGACTAAAAACTCAAACAATAATTCCATTTTATCTTAGTAACCACTACATTATCAGAAAGTTTACATCTTACAAAGAAGATTTCTCTCTCTCTCTCTCTCTCTCTCTCTCTCTCTCTCTCTCTCTTGTGCAGAAAAATACGATATGCAATCAGCTTGTAACATGCTAAGACTAATTCCTAGTACAAAAATGAGTGAGACCCCCACCAACCCCAGTGAATGCTGATTGGTCCACATTTTTTTTTTTGTCCTCCTCTCTTTGACCCCCACGTGTATGGGGGTGGTGGGGGTCACCCTCAAATGGGGGTCTGTATCAGTTTTGTTCCTAGTAATTGTTATGCTTTCACTTGCAACAAAATTTGTCAAAAATACCCAATTGACACAAATTACAAAACTTTTTTGTTTGTATATGTGCACACACATGCGAAAGATAATCAACAGGATAATGCAAGAGAACATAATTTTCTTTCCTTACAAGGGTGTCAGGGGCTTCTCCTGATTACTCCCCGAGTACATGTAATCCGCATCCCATGTATACTAGGTAATTACGAAGCATAAACCCGGGGATGACCTCCAGGAGGAGAGCAGAAATCTGAGATTGTCACATTTTTACTTGCAACAAAATATGTTGAAATTACCTACTTTGACTCAATTTCCAAACCTTATTTTGGGACCATGACATTGAAACATTCTATATGGGCATTAAACCACTCAAATTTAAACTGAATAACTTTAAAATTAGAGGTTACTCTGTGTGTGTGCGCGCGCACGCGCGAGTGTGTGAGAGAGAGAGTATAAGACAATGCAGAAGGACAAAAACAATAACATAACCATAATAATATAATTGATAAGGGCAAGAAAAATTAAGAGCTATGAAAGAAAGAAAGAAAGAAAGCCCACTCACTGTGTATCTTTGACAGAGAAGGTCTCCTTGAATATAATAATGGGTAGCATCTCTCTGTGTTCTTTCTTCAATCCCAACTCAGACTGCCAAATCTCAATCAACAAATATTCAACAAATTTACAATATATATATATATATATATATATATCCTATAAATACATATAAACAACAATCATACAATTGCAAAAAAAATTTGTGAGAAAAAATAAAAAATAAAAATAAAATCTTACTGTGGAGAAGTCATCATCATCCGTGGTGTGCAATGAAGCTGGCCTGCTTTGGGGGCGGCGAAAGCAGCAAAGATAGAACAAATAGAAGAAGAAGGCAAGTATGAAAATGGAAAAGATTGGTACAGAGAAGATGAAAGCTTGGTATAGCTTCAACTCAGATGAAGCTTTTGCGCAACAGGGTTGTGTTGTTTGATCTTCTGTCTTTGAATAGCTATGAGATGATGATGACATCTTTTTACAAATGAAATGGGTCTTCAAAACCCAGAACAACAACGTCAGTAGTTTTGAGGAGGAAAGACCCAGATGAGAATATGATATGAAGTTCAAAATTTGATTTTTAATAGAAAATGTAAAACACCCAACTCAAAAAATTATGAATAACAGAGAGAGAAGTGGGAAGTGGGTGTTCTAAATAGCTATGAGAGAGAAATTACCAACAATTCTTCAAAACCCAAAGGAATCCCACATAAAGATAGAAAAATGAAGGTCAAAGATCGATTTAATAGAAAAAAAAACAAATTCCCAGATGAGAAAATTCTGCTAGAGAGTAACCAGATTTCGGGAAACTTCAAGGAAAAACTGTTATAAGATTTCAGCTCTAGTGTTGTAGACAAATCATCATCAGAGAGAGAGAGAGAGAGAGAGAGCAGAGTGAGATCACAATTTTTGAGACATGAAAATTATATGGGCAAACGGTAGGTGGACAATGATCCCGGGCAGGGATGGCTCATTTTTCCTGACCCGCTCCATCCACATCTTCTGGCCGTACTCTGATGAGGAAGTGGGTTGGGTTGGATTTTGCTTTCAGTCTGCCCTAGTCCTATTTATATTTATTAAATATATTTATATATATCATTTAATATAATAAATTTAAAATTTTTATTTCAAATATGATCTTGAGCGGCCCGTGGAGATATCACCAATATCGTTTCGATGATTTGTACCATTCATTTTATAAGATTATTCATATATATCATTCATACAAAAAATTAAATCAATTTAATAATTGTAACATTTTTATTTTATTATATTTGTCTATAAAAGAATTTGATGATTTATTTTCAAAAATATATTTGTCGTTCATCTTTTCAAAAACAATGATATTGTTATGATTATCAAATCGATTTAAATCGTTCGAATCAAAACGAGACTATTTGGTGATGACTACTTGGTTCCTTACACAAGAGGTAGTAAATTTGAGATATGATATCTACAACTCTTCTCTTTATTTTTTTACATATTTTCGTAAAAAAATAAAATATTAATTAAAATAATTAATTTCCAAAATAACTCTCAAGGTCACTCTAGTATCCTTCACTTTTTTCTTTTTTTTTTCTTTTTTTTTTTTTTTGGATTTTGGAAAAAGTTCTCTTGTCCAAGCAAAGTTATTTAAAAATTTTGCTCCACACTATTAATGTTTGGACAAGTGTCCAGTGATCTGGGGGAATTAAGCATTGTTTAGCTCATTGTAAAATCAATTAGTTGTAACCAACTCCTTGTAACCAATTCTTGAATCATTGCAGAGTTTGTTAGTTGTTGGAGATTCTGTTAGGAGGTTAGCAATTATTAACGGCATACCAGTTACAAGTACACTGCTTAATATTTGATTAACATATGAATCATCTCATGTAGTTTTAAAAATTACATTTCACCCTTTGAGGTTTTTAATTTCTTAACAAATTGTCCCTTTGATTAATAAATTACAAGTCAATTAATAATTTTTAATGATGTTGGAAATATGTTTCAATTAATAATTTAAGTAATTTTATTATTATATTAGAGAACAATTATGAATTTTATTTTTTTTAGTTAATTCTGTTAAATAAAAAATTCTAACAAGGGGTATTTGTAATTTTTGAAATCACATAAGACAATCTGTATTTTAAGCAAATCTCGGGAGGTGTATTTATAATTTACCCCATTGTCTCTGTGCACATCTTTTCTCATTCCACTCAGTTAGTAATTTAATTTTTAGATATTTATCTCAGTCCACACACCCACATTCCAAATATACACATTTAATAAAAAAATGTGTACACACCCTTATCTTCTTCATCTTCCAAACTCTAACCCTAACCAGCAGCCACCTCGCCCGTGGCAACGCAGCACCATTGTTACCACCTCCCTTTCACTTCCAGTCGCCATCCCCACCTACAAACTCACCTAACATATACACCAAATTTGAACCTCCATTGAAATTGTGTTTTAGATTTTGAAATTCCAGTAAACTTTCATTGAAGGACCTCCATAGAAGACTTCCATTTTGAAATTCGTCACTGGTTTTTTCTGTTTCTTGCAAAAAATTAATAAATATACATTTTTCTGTTTCATTCAGAAGTACAGTATCGAACTAATATGTAAGGTTCGGAAGTACACTGTCAAACCAATGTTTTCGGATGTTGAAGGTCGAACTAATATGTTTTGTTCGGATGTTGATGGTCGAACCAAATTCATTTGTTTGATGGTTGATTTCCGAATAGAGGCGGTTCTTTCGATACTAGTAGTCCGAATGGTAAGAAAATGAGTCTTCTTCCCAGATCTAGGTTTCACGATGCCTGCGATGGTGGAGAAGGTTGCGTGAGGGTGGTGTGCTGGTGAGGAGGCAACGGGATGAAGAAATTACCATGTTTAGGGTTAGGGTTTAGAGGTGGCGGGTGGTGGTTGGCGATGGCCATTGGTAATAGGTAGTAGCTAGGGTTTTGATTGAGGATTAGGGTTTTGATTGAAGGAGAAATGGGTATTTTGTTAGTTTCATTTTAGGACAAAAATGTAATAAAAAAAATTCATTAAACGTGTTGATAGAGAGTAAATGGTGCGTGAAAATTAAATTTCCCATAGTTTTGCTTGACCCTGTTTCTTTCTATTTTCCATTTTAGCTTTCTTTTTCATATCCATAACATTTGGTATCAGAGCAGACATTCCCGGCCTGTGAAAGTAACCAAATAAATGGTAGATGGGACTAGGCAGCAAGAATAAAAAATAATGGATGAGGTAATTTGATCTCTCAAAGAGAATGGTGAAAAGCAAGCAAAGGATATTAGGGAAATCAAGAAATCGATGAAGGATATGAATCAAAACAAAGAGATTATCAAAACAATGAGCATCAAATACGTTCAAGTGGCATCTAGGATTTATGGGTCTCATCAAGAGATCAAGGAAACATCTTAGGTATGGGTTCAAAACCCTGAATCATTCAATCAATTTCAAACCTGTTTTACCCCAAATTTTGTGGAGAAGATCCAAAGGGTTGGTTTTGCAAATGTGAGAGATTCTTCGATTGCAATATGACTGAAAATGGAAATAAAGTAAAATTGGCTTCACTGCATTTGGAAAACAAAGCCCATCAATGGTTCCAATGGTTTGAGAAATGTCACAATCAAATCAATTGGAACACATTCAAAGAAAGAATAGTTTCCAGACTTGGTCCAAATTCCTATGAAGATGCAATGGGGGATTTAACTAAATTGAGACAAGTCACATCTGTTAGGGCTTACCAAGAATAGTTTGAAGAACTAGCAAATCAAAATCAAACCCAGAATTTGCCAAAAACTTTCTTCATCAGTTGTTTCATCAGTAGGTTAAGAGATGATATCGAGGCTGGGGTATTGATGTTTAAACCCACTCTCATCACTCAGGCTATTGGATTAGCCAAGTCACAAGAAAGTAGTATTGAAGTAATCACCAAGAGATCTAGACAAGGGTTTAGGGTGGCAGAAACTCCATCATCAAGTATGTCCAGGCCTAACCAGATGGTGAGTTCCATAGCCCCTAATCGAAGAGAATTACCTAAGGAGTTGGAAGAAAAGAGGGCAAAAGGCTTGTGTTTCAAATGTAATGAACGGTAGACAAGAGGCCATATTTGCAAGAAAAAGCTACTGTATGCTATGGAAGGGGAAATAGAAGACCAAGAAGAAGATGATGAGGGGAAGAAAGGAGTACAAATTGCAGAAGAGGAGCTGCAGATTTCTATTAACGCTTTTTCTGGTTCAGTCTCTTACAGAACTATGTGGGTAGGAGGAAATGTCAAGAAAAGATCAATCATGATCCTTATAGATTTAGGTAGCACCCATAATTTTTTGAGCCCCGATGTGGTAAAGAGGTCAGGAGTAGATATTACAGTTACAGATCCTCTTCCAGTTTCAGTAGCTGACGGAACTAAATTGTTGAGCACAGCTGTGTGCAGGGGATTCAAATGGGAAATGCAAGGTACCAGTTTTCAAGCTGATATAAGGGTATTGCAACTCAAAGGGTGTGACATGGTCTTAGGCATTCAGTGGTTAACAACATTGGGACCAGTCAAATGGGATTTCAAGAACTTGAGCATGGAATTTTGCATGAATGGAAGAAAACATGTATTGAGGGGTGGTAAAAGGGAGGAATTGACAGTCATTGGCCCTCAAAAAATGCAGCAATTTCTCCACAATCAGGCTCAAGGAGTTGTGGCACAAGTTTTCTCTTTGCAAGTAGATAGCCATGAAGCAACTATTGATCCAATGTTGGAGGAAATCTTGGGCAGCTATGATGATGTATTCCAAGAACCTAAATATTTTCCTCTAGTAAGATCTCATGACCATCACATACCACTAAAACCTGAAGCTGAACCAATCAATATAAGGCCCTACATGTATCCTTATTTCCAGAAATCTGAGATAGAAAAGCAAGTTAAAGAAATGCTTCAATCTGGAATTATAACAACCAGTGTGAGTCCTTATTCTTCTCCTGTTTTGTTGGTCAAGAAAAAAGATGGAAATTGGAGAATGCGTGTGGATTATAGGGCATTGAACAAAGCTACTGTTAAAGATAAGTTCCCAATTCCCACAATAGATGAGCTTTTGGATGAATTATGACGAGCCAAAAGCTTCTTTAAATTGGATCTAAGGGCAGGATACCACCAAATTCGAGTTCAACACCCAGACATTCCAAAAACAACGTTTAGAACTCATGAGGGGCACCACGAATTCATAATGATGCCCTTTGGGCTGACAAATGATCCTTCTACCTTCCAGAGCCTCATGAATAAAGTTTTCAGAGCATATCTAAGAAGGTTTATACTAGTATTCTTTGATGACACACTTGTTTATAGCAATTCATGGGCAAAATTTGCAGTATTTACAAGCGACATGTCCAAGTGTGTATTTACAAAACAAGAAGTGGAATATTTGGGTCATTTGGTTTCAGATAAAGGCGTTTCAGTAGACAAGATTTCAGCCATGGTAAATTGACCAGTTCCCTAAACAATCAAGGAATTGAGAAGATTTCTAGGACTTACAGGATACTATAGACGGTTTGTTCAAGATTATGGAAAACTTGATGCTCTATTAAATCAGTTGTTAAGGAAGGACTCTTTCCAATGGACTGAGGAAGCAACAAAAGCCTTTTTCCAGCTCAAAAATGCAATGACAACCATTCAAGTATTGGCTTTGCCAAATTATACCAAGGAGTTTGTGGTTGAATCAGATGCCTCTGGGAAGGGATTGAAGGCAATGCTCATGCTTCTGGAGTAAAGGCCTATCTGAGAAGAATCAAGAATTGTCTACCTATGAGAAAGAATTGATGGCGGTAGTCTTGGCAGTCCTAAATGGAGACATTACCTCTTAGGGGGACATTTTATAAACAGAACTGACGACCAAAGTCTGAAATACCTGTTAGAGCAAAGGGTAGCAACCCCATTTCAACAAAAATGTATCACAAACTGTTGGTTATGATTATGAAGTTGTTTACAGAAGTGGGAAAGAGAATAGAGCTGCTGATGCCTTGTCTAGAAAGACGAATCTCCTTATGCCTGATCTAACTCCAGCCACC